GCTCAGTAAACAATTGCCATAAAAATGTGTAAGGTAATTGCATATTTTCGGAAGTGACAAGTCTAGCGGAAAGACATAGAGGCGAATTTTATGATTAGATATCTCCAAATCAATGTAATTTGTTGTTATAGTTAAGTAGTCTGGCTGCACGATCCACAAAGAAATTAGGCGATCTCCTGGCACCTCGCAATCTAGGCACTGATGGAAAGCGTGGTGTGGCGATGACCTCTTGAACTTCACCCTTGACCGGCGCCAAGCTTCGAAATCCTATATTTATGTAGCATGTCCTGTCACGGTCGCCAACTTTTGTACGATATTGTACAAAGAAACAGATTAGAATATCACAAACTTTATTTAATATATTTGTTACATTTTACAATATTTAATATTATATTTTTGAGGGCGTGCTAACAGTTTGAATTTTGAAAGGTAAAGGTACAAATTGTATGTACTTTGGCTGTTAGAATGACGACATATGATAACTTAATGGATTGTTATTGGCAACATAATTCACGTTGTTTATACAATATAAACTTTTTTTTTATAGGATATGGTGACAAACGAGCATAATTATAGTCTACCTGATGGTAAGAGGTTGCTGTGGCCCATAGACATCTACATCTACCCTCGTTTGGGAAAAAATGCAGATGCGTTGTCACCCGTGAGGACTAAGATGGAATGCCTCTTTTCCAGTAAAAAGGTTCTCCGGTTCTCTACACTCACCATACGAAACACAGCAGTGTTAAGCTGCTATTTTACGCTGGTATTCTGTGAGAGCGTGGTCCTTCCCCGGTCGAGCCGACCCATTCGTGCTACAACTATACTACTAATATAGCTGCAGCATGGCTCTACCACGTACCAAGTATGACATTAAGTATGACATTAATATGGTGAAATTATCTTTAACAGTTATAAACTTTACTAATCCTTACTTGCGCAAATGAATTAGAATATAATCATTACATAAACTAAACTTATTTAGAACAAAGATCAAATGTGCGATCGGCGTGAACAGACCCTAAGGTATCATCACAAACGGTTCAACCGTTCAGAAGATAAGGCTGGACAGACGTACAAAATTTTTAAAAAAGTTTGCTTATGTCATACAATATGTAATATTTGTTTGCGTGATTGCATTCAAATAACCACCTGATTTTTCTGGTTTATAATTAAATCAAACTATCTTTAAGTGATTAATATCCGTAGAAATGCATATAATTGCTTAAGGAGGATCGTTAGGGAATTAAAATATTATATCGACAAGGTTCAGTCGGAACACCCAACAACAACAACTGATATAATACCGAAATTATGTGCATTGCCCGAAACATACGAGTATAGCTATTTTCAACACATACCAACCCAGGCCAAAAATTTCAAAATTGCACTTACATTACGGCTTAGTAGTATCCTGATAAGACTACCAAACAACATGGCTGGCAAACTATATCCAACTATTTAATAATTAAGAAAGAGCTTTCTAAATAATGCAAAGAAGAGATATAATAGTAGAGTTTCCTCTTGGGTTACAATGAAACGTTTAATGTTATTACTTTATTATGTAATTTACTCGAATTTGATCCAAGAACAGGAAAACTCGTTACGTCAAACTAAACATTTATGACGATATGAAAGGGGCCTATAATATTAACGACATTCCCAAATATCATTTTTATAATTGAAGTAATAAAATGTATTGTAAGAAAAAAATAATCACTTCTAATGTTAGAAATTATTCTCAAAATTATTTAAATAAAAGGTAACACTACTCGGTAACAAGCCCTGCTTACTATCAAGATCCAATTACATGATAACACCAAAGTATGCAAACCAACAGCATCACTACCCATCTCAATGTAACACAGGGCAGCCTCGCAGCAAAAGAATCTTCCTTGCCTACACTAATAGAACACATCAATGATAAATAATAAAAGTTTTGTAACATTAACTAATAGGTTATTATACTTGATCATCCCTTAAATGCTGTTATTAAGTGCTATTTGTCAACATAGTGTCTGCTATTTGCCATGATAGGTCAGATTATTTTAATTGCCAAGCTATAGCCTTGGCAATTAAAATAAGTAAATTAAACGCGATAAAATCCCTTAAAAATAGTTTTATTCAAAGTTTACGCATGCCTTAAGTATTTCATGAAATAACTTATGAAAAATTAAGTAAGGATGTTTCTGGTACTGGCAGGTATAGATACTTCTGGTACAGCACCCATGATCACGGGGGAACTGAGTTTGACGTTTTGATGTCATAGTTGGCCCAGCTATTTCAGATTTTGAATATTAATTTTTTGGTCCGTTTTACGCATAACGAGCATACAACATCAGTATCTTGAAGTATTACAGTGATATGTTTGGTTTTGGATTTAATTTAGTTAATCATAGGATCCCAGACAGATGGCAGCATTCATCTTCTGTATTGAAATTAGAATGTTTTTCAATTTCGATAGCCTCCCGTATCATGCTAAGTAGGAATCTGTGTTCTTTTATGAGGATTTATGGTCAATCAAATCATATGTTATGGCGGGAACGATCTTAAACATGTTCACAGACTGCAGACGTCCCTGAGCGTAGGTGTTTCACGTCAATATATGTTCTTTCACGCGGGTTTTTATAGATCTTTTAGTTTTTTCTATGGATTCGCAATTAAGCTTGTACACTCCTGCATCATGTAGAGGGACACTTGACGGATGGCTAAAACTTGACTAAACTTCTTTGGCGGATTGTAGTATGTTTTAATGAAAGCTCGCTTCAAGATGTAGCCAACCCTGTCTGTGACTCTTCTGACAAAAGGTACAGCATGTACACGCTTGATTGAGGCCAGCTTAACTCGGCCACTGTGACGTAGGCATGGAACCTAAAGTTTGTTGTCTTGAAATACTTGCTTGACGTGCTGAAGCTAGGCGGCCAGATGTTTTCTGTCACAGATCCCTTGTGCTCTCTGAATTAAATATTTTCTCACGGTAGCCAACTGTGGTAGATGATTTCTGATTGAGATTTACCATTTAAATATCGGTTGGTATTGGTCTTTTTCCCTATACACTAATTACTAGTCGGAGAATTGTTGCCGAATTTTGGGAAGGACTTTTTGGCAAATTGAAATTGTGAAAAAATATAATTTCGTCAATTGGCGAATACAGTCCCGCGAGTCTGGCAGACTGCCGTGTAGTGGCGGTTAAGAATATCCACTACCCAATATCTTCCCGTGGGTGTCGTAAAAGGCGACACTGGAAAACAGTCAGGAGATGTGCAGCAGCATCTTCCTGATAACAGTAATATCACAATAAAAAACTGCGGGTGCAAACCCGCTTGCCAAGCATGGCAACTATGGGAATATACCCCTGTGGCGGCGATGTCGTTGCGCCACAAGCGAAACATATCGCAGCCTAAATCGCGCTAACAAACTTCTGAAGTTAAAGCAGTATATATAGAATAGCTCCGAACTACCACTCGGAGCGTTTGCCGCTCCCCGGGGAGAACAAATTGACCGGCGGGAGATCTCCCCTTTTCCTTCCACCCGCCACAGTGGTGACCCCGACGTGATATGAACACGCAGCCAATAACCTTCGGAAACTTCAACTTCAAACCTTCGTCATCATCCTCAAGTACCCCAGTCATTCGCTCCCGAGCAGATATTGACTGCAGTCTTCACTTTCTGCAAGCCATCTAGCTTTACAAAGGTTCATCGCAGCACTGGATCTTCCTGTTGCTTAGAGCTACTCTCTGCGCTACAGAGTTCGGCACGGCTCTGAGCCTTACTGCTCGCCTCTACTTCACGGCACTCTCGCAGATTACTTGCCTTCTTCTCTACTCACCGCAGACTACAAGGCGATCCCTGGCACTTGCTCCGGCTCATCGTTCTCACCGGCATCATTTGCAAGTGCGTAGTATGGCATGCATTACACACCGGCATATCGTTCGCACCGGCGTCACTTGCCCTTACGCACACAGCAGGCATTCCCCACCGACATCGGTCTAATACAGCAATAATAAATTGAAATAATTTTTGGATATTCTATGTAAAAATCAGCACATAAAAGAATTTTTGTCGACAGTTGTTTGGAGATAAATGTATACTATACATATTTTAATATTTGTTGTAGTAGATACGAGTACTAATACACCGCGACCCTGTAGTGCAACGTAGCACAATATACAGAGGAAAACAAATCAGCACACAAGCAGCAACGTCTTAATAATTACAATAAAAAATTAAAAATGCGGTTGTCAACACGTCTGCTAAACGTGGCAATATGAAAAAGCCCCTCCTTATAAGGCAATTTTTGGCAGAGGTCCATGTTCAACATTAGACTTTTGATAGAATGTAAAAGTAATTTTTTTTGTGTTTGAGTTACAGAACAAAACAAAGTAACTAATTTTCTTATCGTTATTTTAAGAATAAAATGAATGAAATTTTATATAAAAATACCTAAGTTTTTACCACAACGTCCTACTTCAAATCAAACATAATAATTATCAACAATTTTAAAAACGACAATAACTTTTTCCGTAATGATTTCTCTCATCTTTTACGATTCAAAAAGAAAAGCTTTAAAGCGGAATCCAGTGTCGTATCGTGCATTCTGTCGTTTCGATCCATTACAATTGGAACATTATTGTATGTCGTAAAACCTTCTTTAGTAGATGGGAATGGTGGATGCATCAATATAATGTAGTACTAGAACTGTAGTAGTAAAAGAAGTAACAGTTTAGCAACTTCTATTTAGAACGCTGTTTACTTAATAAGGTATTTACTTTTTGTCAATTAAACCATTATATTAATGAATAAAATGTACAAAATATCTTCTAATAAGTGAAAGGTAGAATGAATTCATATGAAAAATAATTAATAAAAATTTAATTTACTTTAATAAAATGTCATGAAAGTCTTTTAGCAAACGATTAGTGGCAGAATAAAGATCTCAATAATCATTAGATCTAATATTTCTAGACTTGAAGCAAAATAATAAATAAAATTAAGTTACTACGTTAATTTTCAGTAAGTTTTAGGTTAGAATTGCACAAGGCGGTGCCGATTTCTTCTCTCACTATAGAACGGATGTCCTCCAGAGTGAATCTTTGAGACACCTTATCCCTCTGAAAGATGTCCTTTTTCCCTATTATATTGATGCTTTGCGACGGTTCTCCCGAGGAACGAGGCTCTTGCCCGCTCGAAACACGTACAGGAGTGTTACTATTGTCAGATCTGGGCTGCCTACTTCGACACACAGGACATTGCCTTGACACTTTATATTCTTCCGTTAGCTCACTAAAAGTTATATCTGTATTATTAACGCAGGCGAAATGATATTTCTTTATGCATACTGCACATAAAATTGACTCAGTAGAACTTTGTTGTCGACGACAACATTCAAATTTCAACTTGCTCGCTTGCATTTGAATTATTTAAAACAATTCTTCGATTGATATACAGACCTTAACACTAATAATAAACGCAGAATACCGGATGTACTGATTATTGGCAGATGTCGAACTTCTCTTTCTAGGCGACAAAGTTCATATCTATCCTCAGTGCTTTATAATAAGCTAAATAGAAATCTAAATTTTTATCCTCTTTCCAGACATGATTGTAAAGTTAAAGTTCGAGATTGGTTATTGTCACTTGATTATAGTAAAACAGAAAATATCCTGATATAATTTGTAAAAATGTGTGTAAGTAATGTATGTCGTACAATAAAATAATAGCAATCTTTTTTAAAGCATCTATTTATTCATTATAGGTTATAATGAATAATATATATATTCTGTATTATATAATAATATATAATCTACATTTATATATATATATATATATATTTCTCGAAATTTACGGTATGTAAGGATCGTGACACTTGGCGATCTGTTCTCTCTGGCTACCCCGTCAGGGATTGTGCGTGAAGATAAGTAAGTAAGTAAGTAAGAAATTTACGCCTTCATCGACATAGAGCATAGGATTTTATATAGACCCTTGGGAACTTTGTTTGTTATCCAGACAAAATACGGCCACTAAAACGATCGTTTTTCAAAATGTAATCGAAAGCGGGATCGATTAGGTGTGGTTATGTTATCCTTTTTATCTTACGTAATAATTTTTATTATGACCTTTTTTTTTAAATATTACCTAATACAGATATATATACTAGCTGTCCAGGCAGACGTTGATCTGTCCTTTTCGACGACCCTTCATATAAAAAATCCTTTAATTCGTAATAAAAAAATATTGAGTATCACTTATCACGATAAAAAGTATCCTATCTCTCAAGTTGGACCAAACTTTCAATGAAAAATTTCATTGAAATCAGTTCAGTAGTTTAGGAGTTCATCGCGGACAAACAATGTGACACGTAATTTTTATATATATATATATATATATATATATATATATATATATATATATATGTAGCCACGTCTTTAAAATACTGGCTAGATCGAGAGTAAAAGTTTTACTCTAGCGAAGCGTTGTTTTCAGCTTTTGCTGTTGCACGTACGGGCCGGTTACTTCGATGGAAGATCATGCCTTCCCCTTCCCTGTTGGACCTTTTGCTGACCTCTTATCTGGACAGATATCAGTCTCCGTCGACGCCCCTCTTGGTTCCTCGGACCATTGTCTAGTCCGGAGTGTGGTGCCACACACGCTGAAATCGCGGTTGCTTTCTGCAGGCTGCCGCCGTGTTTGACACTTTAGGTCGGTTGATTGGGATGGGATGCGGTCTTTCTTTGCATCCTACCCTTCGATTGCGGGTTTGCTCTCGCCAGACGATCCCAACGTTGTTGCTGATTCTGTTGCTGATGCGGTACTTAAGGTATGGAACTTTTTATTCGTTCCTCTGTGGTACCCATTGGAGGCAGATCTAAAAGAAGAAATGGAAATTAAGATACGGCTGAAGAACGAAATTGCCATCTAATTAATAAAATGTTTTGATACAGATATATTATTTATTTTTGACAGGTAAGTATGGTGAAAAATATATCACTCAAAAGCCCCATACCGCAACTGCAAATTTATTTAGCAAATTCGTATTAATAATATAAAAATAGCTAGTTAATGCAAAACAATGAGTTAGGTAGTATTAATATAAAAAAATTGCGATTGCGGTAAAGGACGACTATATGTAAACACGCACTGAAGAAGCGCGGCCGATTCTATGCTCCACTACCTTTTAAATAATGAGTGGAGACTTGTGCTCAGCCCAGCAGAACACTTATAGGTTCTTATTTTTCTTTTACTTAACAATATCAAATCGATATAGTTTACTAAACTGTGTAAAAATAGAAACTTTAAATATAGGGGACATTGTAAGTAAATAAAAAATGCCGGATCCTTAAATCGTATTAGAGTTGTATAATACTGAGATATAATAAGATAAAATATAAGAATATTTAATAAGATTAAATATAAGAATATCTCAGTCTCGCTGAAGCGGAGAGCATCTTGCCATGAAAGAAATATTATTTTATTTCAAATGACCCTTCATGAAACATCTGGTTGGAACTATGTTCCAACCGAGTGTTTCACGACACTCACGCATTTTTTGATTGGTGTGTTTTAATGTCGTCTAAGAATACTCGCAGCAGTTTTTGCTGTTGCACGTATGGGCCGGCTCGAGCCGGGTTGGTACCACGACCTCACAGAATACCGGCGTGAAGTAGAGGCTCTGCTTCTGCATTTCGTCTGGAGAGTGCAGGTGGCCGGAGGCCCAATCCACCCCCCCCATCATCATGGTAGCGGAATTACACGATAGACAGTACCCCTGGAGAATTCCTCGCTGAGCATCCACGACCATGTTATTCCAATCCTGAGCGTGGGTGCTCAGGCTGCCCCGCGTATTCGGGGGGGGGGGGGGGGGGGGGCGGCAAAATTCCGCTCAAAAACATAACTGCTCGGGGCAAACTGAGCAACAATACCAAGGTGACCCTTGCCACGCTATCCGTGAATTTCTGCAACATCAGGGGACTTTACTCTAACCTAAACGCCGTCCACTACCATCTCGAGACGGCGAAGCCGGCCTTGCTCTTTCTGACCGAGACGCAGATTTCCTCTCCGGCTGATATTTCGTATCTCTCCTACCCGGGATACAAATTGGAGCACTCCTTTGTGCCTCGGGCTGGAGTTTGCGTGTATGTCAGAGAGGACATCTGTTCTCGACGCCTCGGCAGTCTTGAAGGTTCGGACCTGTCCATCCATTGGCTACGCGTAGACAGCGACGACCATCCGCGCGTCTACGGGTGCCTCTATAGGTCCCATAGCGGTAATGCCGAAACAGACCGACTCATTGACCACGTCCAAATGGCTACAGATTCCTTGCTGCAACAGGTCCCATCCGCAGAGATCATGATCTTTGGCGATTTTAACGCCCACCATGCCGAATGGCTCGGTTCACGTTTAACCGATCATGCGGGGAGATCTGTTTATGACTTTGCCTTGGCATATGGTCTGACACAACTGATTACTTCGCCTACGCGGATTCCAGATGTGGGGGATCATACACCTTCCCTGTTGGACCACTTCTACCATCTCTGCACAGGGAGGACGACTCACTGGCCTAAGACGCAAAAGACAAAGCTGACCTTTGAGGCTCCCTTTTTGCGTCCAACTCGACTCTTGATGACGGGGGGAAAACACCGCCGACCATCCTGAGTGCTCCATGCCGGATGTCCTGTTCTCACAGCGCTCGGTTCGCAAAGCACTTCTCTCCCTGCACATCCAGAAGTCGAGTGGGCCTAACAGAATCCACCCAATTGTGCTGAGGACGTGTGCTCCGGAGTTGGCACCGGTCCTAATGCGTCTTTTCCGGTACTCCTACTCCCAAGGCGTAGTCCCGAATTCATGGAAGACAGCTTTTGTCCACCCGATCCCTAAAAAAGGCGACCGCTCAGACCCGTCCAACTATAGGCCTATCGCGATCACTTCCTTGTTCTCCAACATAATGAAATCCATTATTAACTGCCAGCTCATCCGGTACCTTGAGGATCACCAGCTGATTAGTGACCGCCAATACGGTTTTCGTCGGGGTCGATCAGTTGGTGATCTTCTGGTCTACCTGACCCATAGATGGGCGGAGGCAGTAGAGTCCAAGAGGGGGCGTTGGCCGTTAGTCTGGACATTGCGAAGGCCTTCGATCGGTTTTGGCACAAAGCGCTTCTTTCGAAGCTCCCTTCCTATGGGCTTCCCGAGAAATTGTGCAATTGGATCACCAGCTTCCTTGCAGATCGGAGCATCAAGGTCGTTGTAGACGGTACATGTTCTGACTACAAGGCTATTAATGCTGGTGTTCCACAAGGCTGTGTGCTATCACCAACACTGTTTATTCTGCATATCAATGATATGTTGCTAATTGGTAACATTCATTGCTATGCGGATGACAGCACTTGTGATGCTGTATACACCTGCCGTGCCAATATTTCTCGGCACAACGTCGCCGAGTACCGGAACAAACTTGTGTCTGAAGTCGAGTCTTTGCTGAACAAAGTCTCGGATTGGGGGCGACTAAATCTAGTCCAGTTTAATCCTCAGAAGACACAAGTTTGCGAGTTTACCACTAAAAGAACCCCTTTGTCGTATCTCCTCAGTTTTAAGGCACTCCCCTTCTTGCCTCAGCCAGTATCGGTATCCTCGGAGTCGACATATCAAGTGACATGCAGTTTCGTGGTTACTTGGAAGAGAAGGCCAAACTGGCCTCTAAGAAGCTTGGCGTGCTCAGCAGAGCGGGACAATATTTCATGCCGGCACACCGCCTGCAACTTTACATGGCGCAGGTTCGGCCTCACATGGAATACTGTTTCCATCTCTGGGCAGGGCCTCCCCAGTGCCAGCTTTTTCCACTTGAACGCATCCAGCGCAGAGCGGCTCGAATCGTCGACGACCGAGCCCTTTCCGATCGGCTCGATTCATTGGTACTGCGAAGAGATGTTGCATCCCTTTGCATTTTCTTTCGCATCTACCATGGGGAGTGCTCTGAGGAATTGTTGGGATTAATCCCAGCCGCCAAATTTCACGAACGCACATCGCGGCAGAACTCCCGATACCATCCACACCATTTGGATGATTGGCGGGCCACCACTGTGCGATTTAGAAGATGTTTTCTTCCTCGCACAACTTCCTTGTGGAATCGATTACCATCAGCGAATTTTCCGAACCGATACGACTTAGGGACCTTCAAGAAAAGAGCGTACTCCTTTTTAAAAGGCCGGCAACGCATCTGCAATTCCCTCCCTGGTGTTGCAGTTGTTCATGGGCGGCGGTAGTCACTTACCATCAGGTGAACCGCAAGTTCGTTTGCCCCTCTCCTATAAAAAAAAAAACTTACCGGTGGTTATATTATGTTTGACGGATTCATGGCGTAGTGATTTAGCATTGAGTTGCGGCGCGAGGACCGTGAGTTGGAATACCACATAGA